GCAGTCTAGATCACGTGGAAGTGATCTAGGCTCTCGAGGTGGTTTATAACTAGGCGTCATGCAGGGACTTAAGTAATGACAATAATGATATGCAATTCGTAACTAATAGTAGAGTATTCTAAGTGAGTGGTCTTGAGCTCGAAGCTCTATACAAAGGAAATCCATCTTGATTATATAGACCTTCGTGGCATGCGTCCCAGTGCTCCCAGTTGTCCCAGTGCTACTGGGACTGCTGGGCCCACTGGGATCCCTCATATCACATGATGCTGAGCACGTGATGTTCGGTATGTGAAGTCCGACGTAACAAAATCAAAATCAAAATCAAAAATCAATTCATCTATCTAACCATCCATCCATCCATCAAAGCTTGAACCAAACCAGCAAGCAGACAGACAGACGCATTGTAACATTGTAAGCTTAACACAATCCAACAATCAATCAAACAAGTAATCAGACCATTTATCCCTATTCCATCCATCAACACCAATAACAAAACCCCGATCGAGCAAGCCAAAAAACACACACACATCAAGAAGAAAAAAAAAACAGACAGACAGACAACCACCCAACCAACCAACCAACCAAAATTTCTTGCGATGTAACCATTCTCACAAAAGCCACCCACCTATCCATCCATCCATCCAGCCATCCCCTTCTCGTAAAAAAAAGACTCTTAGACACCACTAACACCTCCATAACCAATCATTCCTATCCATAGCCTTGAAGCTCTACACCGAAAAGAAAGAAAGAAAGAAAGAAAGAAAGAAAGAAAGAAAGAAAGAAAGAAAGAAACATACACAAATACATGAAAAGTAGAGGGAGAAAGATAAGATAGATAGACAAAATGTGAAGGTAAGGTAAAGAAGGAGAGGCGAGTGAATGAATGAATGAATCGATCAAGGAAAACTTGTAGGGGAGGAAAAAGGAAGATAATCTAGACCATAAAAGGTAGGTATGAAGAAGGAGAATATGTTGAAACAAGGTTGTAGTACAAGACAAGTATATTTTCATAATTTTTAAGTTTTTTTTTTTTTTTTCAGGTTGGAGGATTTTGCACGCGTGATTGATGTCGGGGAATATCTTGAAGGCAGAATATCGCTGTTCGGCCTGGTACCAGAAGTTTGCTTGCATTGAGAATCTTGCCAGTGGCGAGATAGGGCTGCAGATATGCGATGTTTGTATTCGTAAGATTCGTTGACATTAAAGAGTGGCACAAAATAGGCGCAGTTTTCAACATCGTTAAAGCAATGTGAGATAAGAAAGAAAATTCGTGGGCGTAGAAAACAAGGAGCAAATAAAAGCTGAAAAGTCGTATCGGTACAGTTGTCGCAATCGAGTGATAGCCGTGGAAGATTCTTCGACAATGAATGTTGTTGATAATAAAGGAGCTTCGGTTGTGAATCTTCGTCGTGTTGGAGAAAGGGGAACATGGCAAAGAAATGAATGTCTGTAGTTGACCAATAATCAACAAATCGGCAAGCTTATGGTGTCCCTGCATGAAATCCATGCAGGTGGCCACATTCTTATCATATTTGATTTCTGGAGAGCAAATCGTAACACGAGAGCAAAACAGATTTGAGACATTTTCGGATGCTACCATTCATGTAGTCAGTGGCTGTCTTTAATAACTTTTTTTTTTTTTGATATCAAACGCCTAGGCAAAGAGAATTTCCTTCACCGCACCGACAACACCATCCACAAATTCGGTGTATATTTTGATACAACATCATTTTGTGATTTGATAGGAAGCCATGACGTAATTTTTTGCCACATGGCACATGGCAAAAACGAGGGGGGAACGAGAGGAGAAAAGAAGAAATACGAGGAAATCTTACCAAAGGATCATTCACCAAATGTCTCCCCACACCCCACGAAAACCATAACAAAATTCCACAGAAGAAGATCTAGACGGACGAGGCACTCAACGCGGGGAAGGGTACATAAGACACTCTTATGCCTTCATCGAACAATTACGACATGTCTTGAGCTTGCAATATTTGCACTCGTAGATAAACCAATGAGGTCCCGAGTGGCACATGGAGCAGATCCATTGGATTAGAGTAGACTCTGACTTGAGCACATTGAAAGAATGACTGCAGTACGTAGGAACAGCCATTGTGACAAAGATAGTATGGGTCTTGGTGATGGTTTTGGGGAAAGTTTGTGACTGGAAAAAAGATCAGTATCCATCTGCAACAACAGTTGAAAGCGTGGAGATGCGAGCAGGGAAGCTATACGTACTGGTTGGATGTGGAGTATGTACTGCGAAAGCAATTATGAGAATAGAGGAAGCTTTAGAAGAGGTTTTCTGAATCGAAGAGTTGAGCTGTAGTATTGAAGTGGTTTTTGTAGAAAGAAAGGCAGAAGTAAGAGGGAAGATATAAAGCCAGACCAAGGGACTTTAGTTGAACTTCCAAAGGTAAAAGTATTCACCAATACAAATTCAATCTGGACAGAAGAATTCTAAAAGTGAAGTCCCAAATTTGAAGGCAACTTTAAAGTATCAAACAAAATGTGAATTTTGTTCCAATATCCTTAATCTCCCAACGAAAAGAAGTGAGTGATTTGTGAATGAGTTGCAAAGCTCCGTCTTCCAATTCCAAATATGTGAGGAAAAACAAAAAAGCACAAAAGTCCTCCCCAAAGTGGCGGTCACGGCGAGTCTTTTTGTATATTGATAAATACAAGAGAAGGTATCAAGGGTAATGAAATAGATGCAAGATGAAAATCGATCGAGTTCGCGTTGGTCTTTCTGATTGGTGGGTTTCTTGTAGTGTGAGTGTAGTGTAAGTTTAAGTGTAGTGTAGTGTGTACTTGTTAAAGGATGAATTGAATGGATGAAATCATGGCCAACAAATCATGGATGGTTTGTTCGATGAATATATATATATATACATATATATTTATATACGAATAATCCGAGGAAAGTATAAGGTGATTGGGATAAATGATGTTGAAAGTATAATGAGGCTGCAGTGAAGTCTGAAGTGGGATCCCTAGCGAAAGAGTTCTGGAAGTTTGATGTTGAATGAATTGATGGTATGTGCTTTGAGGCGGTTTCTATTTCGGAATAATTGTTTGGTCGATTAGATAAAGTTTGCTGAGTACTGAAGTGCTGAGTTTGCTTGCTTTGTTTTGTTTTGTTTTGTTTTGTTTTGCTTTGCTATGTTATGCTTTGCTATGCTATGCTATGCTATGCTCTCCTATGCCTTGCTGCTTTGATTGCTCTCTTTTTTTAGTTTCCCAGGAAAGCTTATGCTCTAGATAAAGATAGACCGGATTGTCTGTAGGTATTGCAACAATAGAATTGCGGCAGGTAGGTCGGAAGTATACTTGGGATGTAGCAGGGCGGCGGGATAATTGCATGTGTTGCTATCAGCTTGGTAATTCAGTCATTGATGAAGGAGATTTTTTAAAACTAGTTTGCTAATTTGCTAATTTGCCCGCCTCCTAGTCTTTTAGTCTCCTAATTCCGTCGTCTCGTAGTCGTCGAGAAGGGAAGGGAAGGGAAGGGAAGGAAAGGAAACGAATGAGGAGATCGTTGTACCCAAGCAGACCGACCAGGGGAAAAAAGCTTAAGGAAATAAAGAATGTCAAAAGAAGAAAGTAGTCGCCGGCCAAGGAGTGATATCTATCCGGAAATCAAATATATGAATTGATACCGAAAGATCATGTCCACTCATGTATTTAGCAATCAAGCAGTGAAGCAAGCAAGCAATGAGGTTCTTCCGGTTCCCGATCCATCCATATATCCATCTACTTGTGCATGTTGGATAAGATGTGACATAGATTGAAAAGAAAAATTTAAGGACCCTGGGATAAAAGCAGGGTTGTACAAAGTAACGTGCATGCAGAAAGGAAAGATACAAGCTGGGTTTAAACCTTAATTACACGATAGATTATCTAGAAGAGAGTAGGGCGTGTAGGTGTGTAGGGAGGGTTAGGGGGGGGGAGGGGGGTGGGGTTCCACAAGTTCTTACTTTCTAGAATGTGTGCTTAGTGGGGCGGTGGGAATCTAACCGTTGGGCTGAAAGGTCTATGGCCATGACTCTGGGAAACCTTAAACCAGGGGAAAGGGTTCACAGTCAAGAGACTTTGGGAGGACACTGATGAATTCCTGGTAAGGGTTGATTGCGTATGTGGTGGTGGTATGGGATCTAGACGACCCAAATTTCGCTTTCCCATTCAGTTTCCCATGAGGATTCCCATCAGAATTCCCTCAATTAAGTAGTATCTGAGTCTAATATGCCGCGTTTGACAGGACAGATTAAGGAAAGACATACGAAAGATGCATCCTGATACCATGGTGCGATGATGCATGGGGGATGGGATGTGGTATGGATGATATGGTCTGGTATGGCATGGCATGGGATGTTCTGGTCAGGTCAGGTCAGGTTTGTATGATCATTGGCGCCTTAACTGGAATTAAACGTTCGGAAGGGTGTCTGACAACTTAACCGGGGAAATGTTTTGGTGAAGCCCGAAAGTATTTATTTCAAGATAATTGTCTTTTTCTTTGCGCGGAAGTCGGAATCTGTTTGATTAGTCTAAATCAAGAAGCATAAAAAATAAATGCCAATGTGTGTTATGTCATGCTTAGACAGTGCTTAAACAGACTTTCATATGTGGACATTAAGAGAATCGAGATTCGAACGAGGGACTGGTCACTGGTGGACGTAGCTGTATCTGGGTTGGCAAGTGGGTGCGTTGGGTTGAATGGAGTTGTCTGATCGCCTAGGGGTACGAGCGAGATACAATGGCAATGATGCTTGGATAGCCTATCAATAGTCTGCGGAGCTGAAGAAAGGGAATTTTAACCAAAGTAGCCAAACGTCGAAGCCATTAATTGACTTTTGCACTACTATGCCCAGGTATTCCTTGTTCTCCTTCCTTCGTTCGCTCCTCCAAACTTCTTCGCGATTTCTTCAAACTTCATGGTGCTGCTATCGGGGGCGTGTCATCGTATTTGTTTTGGGCTGGGAAAGTATGGTAAAGTACTGGAAAGTGGGGATCGGGATCTTCCCTTGGCTTGACTTGCGGAAGCTTGCCGGCCGAAGTTTTTCACTTCGAAATCGAAATTTGACCCAGGCGGTCATTTTA